GGCCGAGCCGGCGGGACTCGAACGGGAATTTGTTCGCGCGCTCGAGCACCGTGGACCGAACGGAGATCGATTCGGAGCTCGTCGATTCTCGCGCAGAATGATCCCGACCGGAAGTGGATCGACGCGACCCGTTTCGGGGCGTGTGGGCGGACGCGCGGCTCCGGTTTCCGTGGAGGACCGCGCGCGTTCGCTCGCTCAACTAATAAAAACTCGACAACATTGAACTATATCGAGAATTATCGCCTAGACTACAGAATTCCAACAACTAATTGGGCGCCTCCTATCGAAGAAACTAATGTGTACTAATACCAGGCGCCCTCCCCTTGACCTCACCGACAGCTTCCTGGACCTCCTGCCCTTTTCTCTCTCCCTCTTTCTCTATTTTTTCTCTTATTCTCTCGGTCCCGGTCTCTCCCGAACCCTGTGTTCTAGTTAATTTGCCTAACGATCGGGCAGAGTCCTCGATCGTATTTCTCCTCGATCCGCCTCAACGTCGGAGCGTTTTCGATTCTCCGCACGAGGCCGAGAGGAAATACGAAAGCCGCGTTAAGTTCCCGGTGCCTCGTCCTCGACCGTTCCCGAATTAGCTAATCGTCGCGGGACAAGTCAGTCCGCTGAGTATCGTAGAAATTTCGCTGGAGAGATTCGACTCTGGCCGGAGCTTGAACGAGAGCCGCGTCTAGCGAACGGATCGATCGGTCGTGCGATCGACGGGCATTCGATCCAGGAAGCGAGATTGATCGGCGCCACCCTCGTCCACCGTACTTGCATGAGAAACTATATAAGAAAGAACGTCCTCACGAGAAACGAAAAGTTCCCTCCGTTGACGCACGCACACTCACGCTAGCAAGCAGGAAACATCACGCTCTCGTTCTCTCGCGTTCATGCTCTTTCTCTCTCCCTGTTTCTCTCTCTCTCTCTCTCTCTCGCTCTTTCTCTCATTTTGCCTCTGATATTCTCTCTATCGTTCTCTCTCTGTCATCAACAATATCTCAGTGACATTCGCTCGGCTCAGGAGACGCGTGAAACGAAACTGTTCTGTCCACGAAACTTCTCTCGCGCGGATCCTCGCGAGCAGCGCGCGGCCGGCTCGCGGCGGGCCGCCCGCCGAGATCCCGAGGACCGCGGCGAGGAACGGAAACGGCGCACGATTCGCAAACCAATCGAGCGATATCGAATCGTCGAGGAGGTGACGATCCCCGATTCACAAAGGTTTCTCTTCGGTGGGAAGGAAAGTCGCCGGTTTCGCGTGGCCTGTCGATCAAACGCCAGAAGCGGACTGCCTTTTTTTTCCGCTCGATGAACAATGCTTCGAACAAAGAACCTGCGAGCTATGATATATCTCTATATGTATGTATGTGTATATCAATATATAATGTATAAATTTTTTTTCGGTATTCTGAAACATCGACGGCTCAGAATCGACTGTCTTTCTTTTTCTATAAAATTATAAAAGATCTCTTGCGGTCTTCCGAAAAACGTTCACCCCCTCGAACGCCGTCAACGTCTCTCTCTCTCTCTCTCTCTCACTCACTCACACACACACACACACGCACACACTCATTCACTCTCTCTTTTTCTCTTTCTCACTGACTCTCTCTCTCTCTCTTTGTCATTTACACGTGGATTCGCATTATCATTCTCTCTCGTTCGTAGACATTCTCTCTGCCTCTCTTTCTCTCCCCGGAAGTGCGTGTCTCTCGCCGTGTTCACCGTCCCGGGTTCAGCATTATAATCGAATTTAAAAAATAACAACACGCCGTCACTGCTCACTAAAATATACGACTAAACTGGTTGTCGGTCGGTCGGTCGGTCGGTCGGTTGGTTGGTTGGTTGGTTGGTTGGTTGGTTTGCGAGGTTTCCATGCACTGTTCTCACAGTCGGTGTCTCATTTTTGTTTGTTTGTTTGCTTGTTTGTTTGTTTCGTTCATTTTTTTGCTTTTTGTAACTCTTTGGAGACGATCGCGAGCTGTACGCGCTAATCAAGTAAAACATGGCTGCTCGTGCTTGTGACACGCGTCGTTTTTTCTTTTCTTTTTTACAATCTAACGAGAGAACAAGAAAACAAAACGGAAAGAAAATGTAATGAAAAGAGTGGTATAAAAACAAGGTCGGTACAATATTGAAAATTCATAGCAATACATAGTAGTATTAATAGTAAATAGTAGTAATAGTAGCAGTAAATAGTAGTAATAAACAAAGCACTGACAAGCTGCAGAATATACAATACAAAGGTACAAATAATAGGGAACAAAAATCCATTTCATTTCGGGGGTTGTTGCGTCGAATCAACACAATCATTTACATACACGTGTTTGTACGTGAACGTGTCCGTGTACGCGTCCGTTTCTCTGAACATATGTGTGTGTATGTATGTATGAATGTATGCGTGTACTTGTCCGTACACGGTTTGTTGCCTTCACGTACGCCCGCATACAAACGCACATTAATTTCCTAAGATTGAACAGCATCATCCTGGCGCCGCTCTCGATCAACGAAAGGACGATCTCTTCTCTTCGATTAATCATCGATCGATTAAGTATCGTAAGTGTTATCTGAATGCGTCACGAGGTTCTTGTGTATCGCAATCTCTTGCTTTCTTCACACACACTCTTTCTACCCCCGTTCATCCCGCTTTCTCTATATCGCGCCAGAGGGTTCTTTTTTTCCATCCCTCTCTCTCTCTCTCTCTCTCTCTCTCCCTCTCCGTCACACTATGTTCAAAATTCGAATTTTTCGCGCGCTTTCCCCCTATTTTCCATTACCTTTTTCTCTCGTTCTCTCTTTCTTCCCTCTCTTTCTCTCTCTCTCTCTCTCTCTCCCGATTCGTACGCACAAACACTGTTCTTCCTCTTTGTTTCATATGCTTCGATATTTTATATATATATATGTATATATATGTATATATAAAAATACAAAAAATAATTTACAAAATGATATTATAAGTATATTACACGCGAGTTTCATATTTTTTTGTCACACTTTTTGTTTGTTTCTTCGTTTACTTCGTTCCCCGTAGTCGGTATATATCTCGATTGTTGTCTCTCTCTCGCTCTGTCTCTCTTTCGTTCTTTCTCTCTCTCTCGGTCGCTCGCTTTCTTTCACTCTCTCTCAATCTCACGTCAATCCTAACTCCTGTTTGTTTATAGTGTTTGTTTTTCGGGACGAAGGCCCGGACGCTCGAAGAATTTTGAGAAACGCTTCCCGTACCGTAGCTCTTTCTCTCTCTCTCCCTCTCTCTCTCTCTTTCTCGCTCTCGCTCTCTCTCTCTCCTTCTCTCTCATTTTTTCGATTTTGTTTCGGCTCCTCTTTCTATCATTTTAATTATCTCCACCCTCATCGTCATCGACGAGCACAACGCCGAAAACGCGACACTGTTCCTTAACAAACACTCTTCTTTGCACCACTCCCGTCGCAAATATCGTTTTCGCATCGTTTTCATATCGTTTTCTTTTTCTCCGTTTGTCTATCTGCTCGTTAAACAAAATATAATGTAGCAGTGTTGCATGTATATGTATATAATATATATATATATACATAATATATATACATCATATATATTATATATATACGCATATGAACATACATGTATATATATAACCGGTACTCCCTACAAGTATGTATAATGCCTATACATATATTCAATATCTGCAATATATGCACGTGTTACTATTCCGTCTTTGTTTACCATTCGCGATATCATTTGGATGATTCGCATATTCGCGGGGCCGTAAGAGATAGAAACAAATCCGTTTACAACAGGATAATCACTGTAGTTTCTCAGCAAACCACTGTATTATTTAACAAAAATATATATATATATGTATATGTATATGTATATATAATATAGCGGTATATAATATATTATCTGGAGGCGCGATACACGCTGGTATATAATCAAATATCATACAAAAAAAACAACAATAACAAACTATCAAAAAATGTGGTTGAGGAAACAAAAGAAAAAAAAATATTTCAAAGGGTCAACTTAATGTCTAAAGAAACGCTAAACCGTCGATCATCGACGGCCGCTTTCGCTTTCTCTCTCTTTCTTTCTCTCGCACTCACTTTCCCACTCTCTCATTCTATCTCTCTCTCTCTCTCTCTCTCTCTCTCTCTCTCTCTTTCTCTCTATCTCTCGATCGTTGTGTTCCCGTTGATCCACGCGTGGATCCGGGATCGACGGTAAGAAAAAAAAACACGTTCTTAGTGTATACGCACACGTCCTAAGGTAAAATGGTTCTCGTACAAAAATAAAGGAACAAAATCTAAAGCCAACAGAAAATACATCTCGATTACAATAATATTAATATAGTATAATGATCATCATAAAAAAACCCATGGTAGAGAAGAAGACGAAGAAGAAGAAGAAGAAGAAGAAGAAGGATTTGCAGGAAACAACGTTATAAATCGCTGATAAAGGAACCTATATACAGATATACATATATAGGCGCACAGTGTTTCGCTGTTTGTCTCTCTCTAGCATGCGTCCGACGCACCCTCTTCTGCCTCTCTCTCTCTCTCTCTCTCTCTCTCTCTCTCTCTCTCTCTCTATCACGCACACACACACACACACACACACACACACGCGCGCGCGCGCGCACGCACGCACGCACGCACGCACACGCATACACGCACGCACGCGCTTTCTCGATCCCTTTCAAACGAATGCACTCACTCCCACGCTGTCTCTCTCTTCTCTCCATTCACTCACACTACAATCATTCTGTCATTCGCTGCGACAAGTGTACACGTACAATGTAAAAAGGACGCACGGTATGCGAAACGTAGGCGCGCGAGAAATCGTCAGCGAACAGAATGGAAAGGAAACGTGAAAAATCCGGGTTCGCGAACAAACGAATCGAACGCACGCGGTGTCTCGCTCACGGAAATTTCGTTTCTCCGCCATAGATCCACGCAGCCAGACAAGGAAACAAACAAGCAAACCACCCACGTACACGCGCACTCGCTCTCGTTCATTCTCTCTCTCTCTCTCTTACTTTCTTTCTTTCTCTTTCTCTCTGTACTCGAACGTGTCAATTGATCACACTTTCACATTTCTCTGCCGCTTTTTCATCCCTCTTGCTACGTACGAAACGATGAAGACTGGGGCCTGGGGTGGGGCTTCGGAGAAGGGGCATTTCGTAACAGTTTTACATTTAGGATGCACTTACACGAGTAACATAGTTGCTTGTTTTTGTTTTTATCATTTCGACACCGAGAGTGTGACTTGGGTGGGGTACAAAAAGGTTCTTTCTCGCGCGTAGACCTCTGCCCCGGTGTCGTTAATGGCGGCGATGGCCGGGTAAACGCCGACCCACCGTACGCGCCGCGCGATCCGAATCGCGTCCGTCGACTTCCGGCGCGACCCGGACGGCCTCGAAACGCGATCTCTCGGCCGGAAGTCGCTGTGGTTCCGCGATCCTCTCATCTCCCCCCTCGCCCCCACCGGAGGCACCGAAAGTCGACGGAACCAACCCCCCGTTGCCGCGCCGCGCCGCCATCGGGGAACAGCTCTACGCGTCTCACGTGTGTGTATATATAATATATATATAATATATATAATATATAATTGTATGTATATAGTTTACATTCAGCAAGTAGTTAAAGTATTGAAAAATATATATGTAATTAGTTACAAATCTAATTATCATCCTCTTGTTAATTCATTACTTGGTAGATAATCGATAGGTATTTTTTGGGTCTTTTCTTTATGTGGGTTTGCGTGTTCTCCCTCCTCTCGTGTGTGTGTGTGTGTGTGTGTGTGTGTGTGTGTGTTCGTTCGTGTCTGCGCGTGGTTCGTGAATGGTTTGGAGTGTGTCCGATACACAGAACGTATATAATATTGTTCTCTCATCCTTGCGGTTTGCGTTTTGCGTTTTCCCGTTGTTGTTCGGTTTTCTTCTCGTTTTTCTCATCTTTTTTTTTTATTATTTTCATCGTGAAACGGCTTCTCTTTGAAAAGTGTACTCTGGAGATCGTGCCCGCTTCCGTTCGCGCATGCACACAGTCGCCGCCCGCGTTTTCCTTCTCGCTTCCGGGATTTTCCTCTCCCGAAAAGCGTCACGCGAAACGAGTCACTTCGAACACTCGTTTCTGGCTTTTCCCTTTTTTCGCTCCCCCTTTCTCCCTCGTGTCGCGCTCCACAGCCTGTTTCCTCCTCTTTCTTTCTCTCCCGTTCCATTGTTCCGTTCTTCTCTTTCTTTCTTTCGTCTTTCTGTTTTCTCCTTTTCTTTTTTCAGTCACATTTCCATCGCTCCGGACTGTGCACATATTTCCGGTTCGTTTCGCTTCCTTGTTCTCTGTTTTCTCTTATTTCTTTTTTTTGCTGTTCCTCATTTCCCCGACAATGTTCTCTCTCTTTCTCCCTTCTATAAATGTATGAATATATATTATATCTAATATTGCAGTGTTCGGTTATCGCTATGACATTATTTACGTTACCATTTGGTTACTTGGTTTTCACCATTTACGGTTAAAGAGACAATATCGATCGCTATAGTTTATAGACACATGATACTTTAAAGAGACAGATTACCGTTCGTTAACGTCGCCATTGTTACGTGTCACGTTTACTTATCATTGTTTTCTTATCGTTTATGCTTTGTTTCATTTTTTTTATATTTTGTTCTTTTGTCGTTTGCGTCTTCATGGTTGTGTCGTGTGCCCGAGGGTTGCTTCGAACTTCGCTGTGTATGTCTCTCTCTTCTCTTTCTCTCTCTATTTCTCTCTCGCTCTATCTTCTTCTTTCTCTCTCTCTCTTGTTCTCCATCTCGCCCTGTCCTCGTGTGTATGAACAGCGTGTAGAACCTGTGTACGTGTCCGTGTCGGTGTGTAGTACGTGTGTCTGTGCGTGTGCAGTGTATCTGATCATTGTTTCTCGTTTTATCTTAACCGCCCTTCTCAATATCCTCCCGTTTTAACGAATACATCCATTACAGATTATGGAAAACTATGCGTAATTCTTATCTTTTTTTCTGCTTGCTTCGTCGCTTACAAAGTGTTTCGTTACAATCGTATTGTAATCGTATAATACTATATGTTTTTTGTTTTGTGTATCTCAATGTATGCTCTATCAATATATCCCGTCATCGTTACACCCTACAATCCCCGTCTCGCCCCTCTCGTCACGACTCGTTCCTCCCCTCTCGCTTTCTCTCTCATTCTCTCTAACTCTCCCTCCCTATCGTCGTCCACCACTCTAATCATCTCGAAATCCGTTCTTATCTTTTTTCTTTTTTTTTTGGATTTTCTACAAGAGTATACATCGTGTGTTTGATTCTTCGCTGAGCTGAGCCTCTCGTCTCAAGCCGAGATCCATTTGATTCGCAATTTATTGCAACACTTGCTCTCTCGCTTTCCTTCCTCTCCCCCACTCTAATCGTCCTTCCTGCGCCTATGCCCGCTCCTCACGTCCGTCGCGACGTCGCCCCGAGACGCCGAGACCGCGGCGAAATCGTGATCGTTCGGGTCGAATCGAAGATTTCAGGTGACTCGGGCCTCGTTCTCGATTCGATTACAAAGATTAGAAAAATAATCGGTTGTCGGGTTTGCGTCTCGTCGTCTCGCGGCCGACCGCGCGATCTATCCAGCGTCGATCACGATCTTTTCGCCTGGGGATCGATCGGATCGTTTCGCCAGTTCCTCGCAGAATCGGCAAACGATCAGCTGGACCAGCTGTCCAACCATGCTCGAGAACCTCGATGGACGTCGATCCCGCCGGTTTCCAATCCAATGTCGCGATTACTTTCGATCACTCCCACCGTTCTCACACATTCTTCCTTGATCTCTCTTTCTCTCTCTTTCTCGCGCGCTCTCTCTCTTTCTCTCTTTCTCTCTCGCTCTCTCTTTAACAATAGCAGGTACTAGCATAGCTACCACAGTCGTACGTATCGTTAATAGTTACAATTAAGTTTAGATATTACTAAAGGGTACTGTTCTCTCGCCTTGTCCCCTCTCGCCACAGCTCCCGCGCCTCTCACTCCCCTCTACCCTTATTAGTTCCGCAGTTAAAAACATTGTTTAGCACCCCCCGCGCGGCCGGAGACCAATTAATTAAACCCGCTGCCGACTGGCTCGCTAGCGGCCCCGCGTTCGAGCGACCTACATCAATTTCTGTCTAATAATTTCCCTAATTCGAAAGTGTCTGACCCTTTAAATGGACTTTTGTAGACCCGAGGAACGCGCGTCGCCGAATCGAAATCGCTCTTCGATCCGATCGATGATATCTCGTCTTACTTTCTCTCTTTTTTTCTTTTTTTTTCTCGAATTTTCTCCAATTTTCTAAACCGTTTACTTCTTCGCATCGATGATCGAGATCGAGGGCTCTGCCCCATCGGTTAGAACGCGGTAACCACGGATCGATTGAACACCGGACACCTTCGAACAAACGATTTCTTTATTTTCTTTTTTTTTCTTTTCACGAACCGGGATCCGGACGGCGTAGATCGCGGGCCTCGATCCGCCGCGGTTCGACCGCGATCCGTCGTCGATCGCGGCCAGCAGTTCAGGGAGCTGCTGCTGCGGCTGCGGCTGCGGCTGCGGCTGCTACTGCTGCTGTCGATCATACAAAACGGGCTATATAAAAATTCGTACGAAAGAACGATGAACGGTCACGCCTATAGAAATTATGCTACACACTTACACGATACAAAGTCACGCTAAGGTAGAAACTAGTCTAAGGAGAGAGGTCGCGCGCGCCGGATCGAGCGGATCGACGGAAGAAGGAAGCCTCCGCCCCCGTTTTCCGCTTCCTTCGGACGAGCCTCGGGGCTCTGTCGCGAGCACGTCGACAGTCTCCGGCCGCGCGTATTCCGTACGTTTGTCCCACGACGACAAGATTAACACTTTTTAATACTTTTAGCACCTAGTGCCTGGCCCGCGGCTCACGGCACCTCCGCCGCCATTGCTGTTACGCTGTCGCCGCCCGACGGACAGACCCGATCTCTATCTTACGCCCCGAGAACGGATTATTCGATCGGGATGAAACGCTTACGCAAAATCGAGAATCATTTGACAACTGACCGGAGACGATGGGGTCCTGGCGAGTCGAACGATTCCGTTCGCAATTATTAGTCACCGATTTCGATACGTTTGTGGTTCTATGGAATCTCAGAACTTGAGCAATGCGGGCGCGTCTTCGACGATGATCCCTCTAATCGTCGATCTACTTTATAAAATACCAAAGGATTATTGTTAAGTTATTGTTAAGTAATTAACACTTCGTTTACCGAGTTTATCCTTCGGCGTACCGATTACACGTGGACCGTGCATCTTATCCCAGGAGTTGCAAGCAATTTTATGATACGCGTAAGAAAAGATCAAGATGCATTATCTGGTTTCTTCTTCTTCTATTATTTAAGTCTTCGATGCATAATCTAGTTCTCCGAGGAATCGGATTTTGGATACTTTGAAAGATCCGCGAAGGGTTAACAGGCTTTTCAATGACTGAACTGTGTCCAACGGAAGCTCGACAATTTCCTTTCGGTGAATAATTTCGAAAAGACTTGTTACACATCATGGAAATCTAAGAGTAATACGATGGATCACGGATGAGACTTGTCTGGAACGTCGATATCAAAGGAACGATTAGAAAACACTATCGCTAGACAAGAGAAACGCTTCGTATCAAACTATGAATAATTCTCGAGACTCGATGGTGTATTTGAAACGAGAATCGTCTGATCGTCGTCTCCCAGAACCCCCATAAAGCATGCGACGTTAGAAGCGTGACGGAAACGCGGGGGGCGAGTCATCGTGCTCCATCCGTCGAGGACAGCAACGGCGGTCTTTAATAACGTAATCACCTAATTAATCTCGCGACCACAGGCTGGTTGCCGGCTCCTCCTCGCGTACCGCGTCGCGCGGCCGTCACGGGGACGCTCCGGGTGCTCGGTTCGGGATCCCGAAGAACGCGAGGCGTCCCCGGAAATCCTCGTGTCCAGAAGAAACGACGCGGAAGTTTGGACGGGCGGCCTCGGGATCGATGGGACAGCGAGAAATTGAAGCCCGCCGTTCGATAGCACGGAATTAGGAAAGTTTGCCAACTCTTGGGGAACTTTGACGAGCCGAGGATGTTGCCCGATAATATCGAACCGTCGGCGGCCATCTTGAGCCCGCGTCGAACGTCCGGGACGAGCGAAATTATCGTCCAGATTCATTTTCGCGGCGATTAACCCGCCGCAGCGTATTACGACGGTATATTCCCGCGTTTCAGTTTGCGCGGGGGAACAATCCGTTCGACAAACGTTATTTCCAAAATAAGTAAAAAGCCTGAAGTACTGGAAGTTGATAGAACACGTCGAAGAAACACACGTCTTCCGTCGAAGAAATCAGTTTCCGATCGTCGATTCCCGCGACATAAGCTCGCAACAGTCGAACAGCGGCCGGCCGATTAGCTCTGGAAACAAGCTCGGAACGAAACTCCGCCCGTCCCGCGCGAAATTAATTAATTTGGGGGGGGGGGATCGAGCTCGAGGAGCGATCGCGCGTCCGGAGGAGTCGCAGCGCAGCCAGGATCGTTTCTTCCTACGAACACGCCGCCTGTCTTCATACCCCGCCTACTCTCCTCCCCTCGTCTTCTCTCCTACGCTCTACTGCATTTATTATAAAAATAAAATGTAAAATCGTACCGAGGACGAGTTATCCCGAACGGTATGGAACTGCGAGTTTCAGCGACTCGATCGGCGAACGAATCGTCCCCGTTGTTTGGGAAGGGGGCTCGCGACCGTTCCAGGTCCTCGTCCCCCCCCTCGATCGTTCAAGAAAGACGGATGCCCCGTCTCCCCGCTGGTCCTGGTCCGGTTCGCTGATGGTTCCAAAGGGAACGAGTCGTCGCCTGCTTCTCTCTCTCTCTCTCTCTCTCTCTCTCTCTCTCTCTCACTCTCTCATCCTTGTCTCTCACACCCTCCCCCCTCCCTCGCTCTCCCGTTTTCCTCCCCTCGTGATCGTCAGAGTGATCGACGTCGCTTTGTCTTAGGTTTACAAGTAGTTCCGAACCGTTTCGCTAGAACCCGTGAAGTGAGTGCATATTCTTGAATATAATACATAGGCTCTACAGATATATTCATTATCAATTCTCCGACTATACCAGTGAAAAAATAAATTATTACACGTTGGTAATATCTGTGTACGTGTTGGTGAAGTCGTGCGCGAAAGTGTCCAGTCCCCCCAGAGAGCGGTGTGTGGCCCCCGCGCGGTTAGGGTGTCCTCTCTGTGTACGTTTTAATGGTATCAGAATGGTTGTGTCGCCAGGTAAAATGCCGTGCCGGGTGGCCGAGATTTCCTCTCTCCATCTCTCACTCTCTCGCTCTCTCTATCTTTCTCTCTCTTTCCCTCCCTCTTTCTCTGTCCCATCGCATGTGGGTCTGGGGCCGTGTGTGTACGTGTGAGTGTGGGTAGTGGGTGTGCACGCGTGTGTCACTCTTGGCGTTCTTCTTTCTCGCTTTCGCGGGTGTGGGCGCTGCGAAGCGCACGCGTCCTTCGGTTCTCTCGGACCAGAACGATACAAAGGAGACCTGGATATCGCGGCTGGTCGAGGAGATTTGTTGTCTCGGGTGCGACGAACGTTGGTACACACGGCTCTGCGTTAGCCGGTCGCTTCGTCTTGCTCGCGAGACCCTCGCGAACTCGCTGGGTGTCGAAAAGTATTCTCTCTCTCTCTCTCTCTCTCTTGCTCTCGCTCTCTCGCTCTCTCGCTCTCTCGCTCTCTCTCTCTTTCACCTCAATCTTTGCTTCTCATTCGTCAACGCGTTGCACGCACGCTTCAGCACACAGGCGCACCGATCTATAGAATCTGTGTACACGTCCTTTCACTCTCATTCTCTCTCTAACTCTCTCTCTCTCTCTTACTCTTTTACGCTTTCACTCTTTTACTCTTTTACTCGTTTACTCTCGTATTCTTTTCTCTCTCTCTCTCTCTCTCTCTCTCTCTCCTTTCTCACGAATCCGCTCGCATCTTCGTCGCCGAGTACCCTCGCGATGTAGCGACGTCACTCCGATGTCTTCTATGACCTGGACGCACCCCCTGGAGCACGGGGTCAGCCACGGGACCGACCTCGACGAGAATCCTTCGAAAGCGGTCAAGCGAACGGAGAGAGCCCGTCGACCCTCTCGCGTGTTCCTGGGCGACGACCACCACCCGGAGCTCGTAGCTAGCTAGCTAGCCTGGCGACGGTGAGGCTGTGTTGTGTGTCTGTCGGGGTGGTACCTCTGGAGAGAGACAGAGCTGGGAACTAGGGTGAGCAGGAGGGCCCGCCGGCTCCGGTCAGAGGCGCGGCGAATCTCGTCGGATCAGATGGTGCAAGCGGATCGGGTGTGTGTGATCTGGGTTACGGAACCTAGTCCCTGGACGACGCCTCGGCACATTGTTGGAGAGACTGGAAATCCGTTTCCGTCTCTCTGATCCTCCACTCCAGAGGAAGGAGTTTCCTCTCTGGCAAAATCGCAGCTACAGCAGCAGCGCCGAAGATCGGCCGCGGCTCGAGCCGCGACGCTTTCTTGGCTTCGGCTCGCGCGTTGTATTAGTTGGCGACGAGGAGGTGCTGGTACTGGCTGGCCGGATACGACGCGACCGAGCCGAGGCCGAAATTGTTCAGGCCGTCGACCAGCGCCGTCTTGTCCTGCTGCTGAGCGGTGCCGTTCACGTTGCTGGTCGCCGCGGCGGAGCCGACCGGGCCCAGGCTCGCAGCGCTCTGCGAGTTCCCGGTGCTGCCGGCCGTGCTGCCGGTCCCGTTCACGCTGCCGCCGTAGAATTGGTGGCCGGCGATCGTCGTCGGGTCCAGGTACGAGGACGGGAAGTTCGCGCCCGTGTACAGGTCGGCGGACAGGTAGCCGCCGTGGCTCGACGACTCGAACATGCTGCGGTGCGGGAACTGCGGATGGTACGCGGCCGGTCCGTGCTGGAAGAAGTACGCGCTCGGGTCCGTGTGCTGCTGACCGGCACCTGCCACTATGCTGCCAGGCGACAGGCTGCGGCTTCGAGGAGTGCTCCGGGACACCGGCAGACCGCCGGCCGCCGCCTGTTGTTGTTGCTGCTGCTGTTGTTGCTGCTGCTGCTGCTGTTGCTGCTGCTGCTGCTGCTGATGGTGGTGGTGATGGTGGATCTGTTGCTGCATCGCGCGTTGCTTGATGTAGTTCGAGAACTCGGTCGGAGACATTCTGCAATGAGACGGGGGACGGCCGGTTAGTTCGCATGTGCTCGCAGACTGTGAGGACGATGAGCTAGTTACTGGTGGTCCTGGTTATGGACGTGTATCGGTAATACATGGGCAGTTAACACAGATTGCTCCGGAAAATAGTGTAAGCCGTTGAAAACGGATTGATTTAAGAGACCGTTAGTGACTCGATAAATAACTCGACGCTGAGCGTAATGCTAAGAATTACGGTATACGGTAATGTCTCTCTAATCGACGCCCAGATTGCGCACAAAAATGGACAATTTGGGAAGAGGAGATACGATTACTGTCTCTTATACACATCTAGATGTGTATAAGAGACAGCGGCAGCACCGGGAACTCGCAGAGCGCTGCGAGCCCTGTCTCTTATACACATCTAGATGTGTATAAGAGACAGCGGCAGCACCGGGAACTCGCAGAGCGCTGCGAGCCCTGTCTCTTATACACATCTAGATGTGTATAAGAGACAGCGGCAGCACCGGGAACTCGCAGAGCGCTGCGAGCCCTGTCTCTTATACACATCTAGATGTGTATAAGAGACAGCGGCAGCACCGGGAACTCGCAGAGCGCTGCGAGCCCTGTCTCTTATACACATCTAGATGTGTATAAGAGACAGCGGCAGCACCGGGAACTCGCAGAGCGCTGCGAGCCCTGTCTCTTATACACATCTAGATGTGTATAAGAGACAGCGGCAGCACCGGGAACTCGCAGAGCGCTGCGAGCCCTGTCTCTTATACACATCTAGATGTGTATAAGAGACAGCGGCAGCACCGGGAACTCGCAGAGCGCTGCGAGCCCTGTCTCTTATACACATCTAGATGTGTATAAGAGACAGCGGCAGCACCGGGAACTCGCAGAGCGCTGCGAGCCCTGTCTCTTATACACATCTAGATGTGTATAAGAGACAGCGGCAGCACCGGGAACTCGCAGAGCGCTGCGAGCCCTGTCTCTTATACACATCTAGATGTGTATAAGAGACAGGTATTATATATTGTCCACTAAATTGGATAATTTGGGAAGAGGAGATACGATTATTCGAGCCTTGCGGTTTATTTTTATAGTTATAAATTGTCCACGATTATAAAAACGAGCCGCAAGGCTCGAACAATCGTATCTCCTCTTCCCAAATTATCCAATTTAGTGGACAATATATAATACGATTATTCGAGTCTTGCAGTTCGTTTTTATAATCATTGACAATTCGTGACTATAAAAGTAAACCGCAAAGCTCGAATAATTGCATCTCCTCTTCCCAAATTGACCATTTTTCTGCGCAATCTCAGCGTCAATAAGGAAAACATTACTGTAATTTGAACTTAAACTGTATGATGTGTACTATTGTGGAAATTCACAAGGAGAATATGGCGTACATAAGGAGAATAGCACGTATATATGAGAAGAATAACACGTATGGCGTGTTCTACTAAGAGACGATGGAAGAACGATCTGCACAGTTTGGAAAACGATAGAGGAACGAATCTCTTTATAAGATGCTTCTAGAATTGTGATCCGATGATGGACGTGAAAAAGAAAGTATCAGGCGTCCTAAGAAGCGAATTTAGGAACAGTGAAATAGATGGAACTATTACCAAGACTATGGAATTGCGAGGACGCTTCGGTTTCGAATAGTTTGGTCAACATTTATACTATCTAGACTCAGATCGCTCGACGTTCTGCGCGATTAACGCGCTCTGCTCTATAACGGATTCACGATTCAGCCTGGTCTCTCGAAAAACCGAGTACGATGTCGTAAATATCTACGATCGGTTGCGTCCAAGCGAAGGTAACTAGCTCATTGTCAGCGTAGGAGACCGGTGATCGAGCAACGCCTTAAGCGACCAGGTGAACGCGTAACCGCGAAGGAAAACACAGGGGCCTTGCTAAGCGGGATCGGTTTACGAACCTGTTGGCTCGTTTGCTGCTGGTTTTCAACTTGGTGCTGCCGAACTTGGTCTGAGCGAAGGTGGCGGTGGTGAAAGTGAGCGGCGCGGTGGTGCGCGGTATGAAAGCTGGCACGGGGCTAGGCGAGCCCTTGAAGGAGCTGGTGATCGGCGTTGGCGACGGCGCCGACGAGGAACCGGACCCGTGACCGTTCTGCTGGTTGTTCGAGGACCCGTTGCTGGCGTTGCTGCCCAGCGAGCTCGGGAATGGCGACGTGGACTTGGGGCTTAGGCTGAGCCCGCTGAGGGACGTGCCGACCGCCTCGATCGGTCTGAAGCACTGAGCCTCGGGGTTGAAGGTCTTGGTCACCTCGCGGTCCGCCGAGCTCTCGTCGTGAGGGTCCCCGGTCTCGGAGTAGAGGATCTTCACCGCGTTCATCTCGCCGATGCGGTAGCTAACCTCGCCGGGGTCCACCCACACGGCCAGCTCCGCCGGAAGGTTCTCCAGGATGTCCTGGATCGGCACGCCGCTCTCTTTCGCGGCCCGCTCCAGCACTGGGTCCACCGGGTCGCCGGTCTTCAAGCATCTGAACGCCGAGCCCTTGAACGGCTTCTCCGGGTACCAGTGACCCTTGAACTTGTCCTTGAGCGCCTTCTCGAGCTCCTCGCCGAAGAGGTTCACCCGTCTGCGAGGCAGCTTGTTGTAGAGGTACGATATCACGAAGTTGAGCGCCACCTGCACCTCGATGTGCATTTTGCCCTTTGCTGGGAGAATCTTCGGGCTGTTGCTGGTCGTGGCAGCCGCGGAATTGGACCGAGGACGCTCACACGATCGGCCGTCTTGCTACCAACGCCCGTTGATTCGCCGAATCAAAGCCGTCGGGCTTAGGTCGCGGACTATTCGCAGTCAGCCGAGCGTCCGGGTTCTTCTATGGATCTGGAACAGACAACGACGTTGCTGGTTAGGCTTTTATGCTTCGACGCTTCTCACGAAATTTTTCGGCGGAACGAGTAGATTTCTAGCTAGCTTTCCGAGTGCTGCGGACGCTCGATAAGGACTCGCTTTTAGGGCAACGGTGATTGACAGTAGAACTACCGAATTAGTCAAAATGACTGGTTTTTTTGATTTTTTCTTTCATAGTTTCTTGATCTTATAAAGATGTTTCTAGGAGAAATTTTCACATAAACTTCTTTATCCAAGCACATGTTATCATAGAAGTCGCGCGGAGTTTGAATGAATCCAATCTTGCCGTTGTTATAACACAATATACACGAGTCTCGTTAACAGTTCGGTAGTTCAAGTGTTAAGTTCGATTATGAGAGAATTAAAATCTCAGAACTCTTCGTCGAATGTATGAATCATTTGACAACTTGCGTTCGATAGCCAAGTAAGACAAACTTTTGTCTATTTCTAATAATTTTGTTCCGTTCTCTATTTTTCTATTTTTTATCTCTTTTTCGTTATTTCTAATAATTTCTAATATAACCAGACCACGGATCTTTATGCAAAATAAAAACTGTCAGCACCAACAGCAAGAGAAATAGAGATTAAATAATAAGTTCATCCTTTTCAAATGACTTTAATATACTCAAAAATATGCATCGTCGTTTTCAAATTCATTTGCCGTGCACAAAATTCGCGGTCTACTAATAACCGTGACTCGGTAGAAAGTTTGTCTAGCGTACGCTTGTACATCGAACCAGCAAAATTTCAATCGCAAAATCGTGGAAGCCTGCGAAAGGAACCGAAATCTGGCGGCGCGATCTCGAAGAAATCCGAGTCAGTTACCACGGAGGAGGGAAAACAAACCGGATCTTTAATGACGTGCCCGACAAAAGCGAGCCGAATAAAAATTCGCGAGTCACCACAAAGAAACCCTATCGCTATTCTGGAAGGTGGCGGCCCCATTCCCTTTTCTCCGCCCTCTTTCTCCGCCCCTTTCTCCCGCGAACAGTGTGAAATCACATTAAAAGACGCCCGTGGAGTATCTCCGAAAGGGATTTGCTTTTACCCGGCGCCCGTGTTATCGGCTCCTTTCACTATCCCGCATTGAAACGGAACGCTGCTTCCGGTTACTCGGGGGGTGGCCTGCCTTCGGGTTCCACCGGGTCCCGAAGAAACTCGAACGAGAGCCAATCGTTCGCGACGTATTCGCGGCGGCATAATGCCCTCCTCGGGCATCCGGCACTCTTCGACAAAGAGCTCTTATCCGCGCCCTCCGGGCCCTCGTCTTCGGCGAGCAAGCGCGTTCTCTTTCCCCGGTAATTTGGAACTCGATTATGCGCTGCATAAATCTCAACTCGCCGGCCGTCGAGCCTCTCCAGACAGATTTACGCTTCGCCGTAAGTTCCGCGGTCGCTGCGAAAGAATTGTTCGGGAAAATATGATCGACCGGTCTCTTCCAGCGTGCTGGAACCTTTTAAATGATACTTGCTCCACGAGCGCGGATACCGCGCCGTAATGGCCGCGTCTTATTCAGAAAATATTCGATTATTTGCGGCTAGACTGCGGATCCTCCATTGCGCTCGCGAGTTCGCGAGTCGCGTGGAAATGTCTTCTCTCTTTTAACAATCGAAACATTGAAACAACTGGTGTACTGGCGTATTGCAAACAATTCATCATCGGACACTCAGACGACGAGAGTTCATCGAACAAGATGGACATTTTCCACGACGAGATTGCCACAAGTTTTCCCACATTCAAATTTAATGTCAGCTAAAATTTCTACTAATAACGCATGGAAAGTTTTCTGATCATTTTTCACGCCATTCATGGGGCGAATCGATGTTTCCATTTGTTCTCTCTTGATTACGTCTCTTATCCAAAAACCATACACAGATACTTGTGAAAAAATATCGGCGACACGAAAATATATTCTGAATTGAGGAACAAACGATCAACGCGTATACATTATGTCCATCTCCGTGGAAAAAGGATTCACTCGTTTCAACGTTTCCGACATCGAACAAAAGAAGAGTCATCGGCGATCGATGTTGGCAAGAACACGAATTGAATATCGTGATACGATAATCGTGGTATAAACTGTCGACAGCTTATCGAACGGTATCAATCATACGCGTATCGTCGTGCAAAAGAAATCTTGGGAAGAAAAGAAATCGTGATGCGCGAGTATCGCGATAGATCATCGCTTCGGCGCGAAAAAGCGGAATGCGAGAAACACTGGCAGTCGCAGCAGGATGTTTCAGCCAGAAAATGGGGCGAATCTTCCGAAGGGGATGATCGGAAGCCGAGAAGTAAACGATAAGCGAGCGCATCCGTCAGGTCCTGGAAAAACGCGTTCGTGCCAGACAGGCTGCCGGCTAACTTTCGGGTGGTGCTCGTTTCCGGTCGAACGACGGGATAAAACTCTCGAGAGGGTCGTTCCGGGTGTTCTCGAGCAGTTGGGAACGCGTCTTGAGCATCGGCTCGCATGCAGCGACGAATATTCAGCTGTTCGCTTGATCACCGTGAAACGAACGGCAATAAAGGTAGCTGGCTGGGCTTAGCGGTGGCCATTTTCTGCGGAGACGTCTGGCCGCGGAAGTTGCTCCCTGAACCCGAATGACATCGAGAGGGAAAGGCTTCTCTTTACTTTTCCCCGCAGAGCTTTGCTCTTTTTGCCCCTGTCGCGCCCGGCAGTTCCTCAATCCCTTTTTTCCCTTCTTTTCATCCACTCCGCTCTTCCCGTTTTCCTTGGCTCCCCCTTGCGCGTCGCTTTCTTCATCACGACACCAGCCACTATCCTCTAACACCGTCTACGATTACCCGTTCCGCGCAGCCCTCTCCTCCAGGCCGGGCTCTCACAGCCACCTCGGAACTCAATTCCGTCCCGTTTCACCCTTTTTCGCCGTGATCTACCGGGTAAAGGCTAGAGAACGGAGAGGAAAGGGGGCGCGAACAGCCGCCGAGGAGTTCACTGGACCAGCAGCCATTTTGTAACGGGATACGGGAGGACATTCTCTGCTGTTCCCTTTTTTTCCCTCTATCTTCCCTCCGTTTCTCTGTTTTCCCCTTCTTCGCCTCTCTCTGTTTTCTCTTCTTCTCTCCGCGGCTCGTTTCCGTCCGCCCTCCTCCCACCCGGCTCGACTTCCATCCCCTTGCCGACCAAATATTGCAGCAGACAACGTGGTCACGGGTATTTTTCAATTACGCGACTGCTGGATACCTTTGTGGCCGCTCTGCGGCACGTTCGCACCCCCGGCCTGTGGTTTCGCCGTGAAAAAAAAAAATGTTTCCTCGGCTCTGGTTACCGCGCCGAGGAATAAATCGAGGCTGCTGTTTTAATTCCGAGCTACTCCGGATATATGCGCGCGGCGCTGTCTCTCGCGGAGCAATTTCGTTGCAACGTTAGAACGCTTGTCCGGACAAATTTTGACGTTTCTTCTCCTCGTTGCTGGGATCTGGTTGGATCGTAGCCGCGACGGTACAAGCTTTCGCGACGAATCGAATAATCCTCTTCGCGCGCCTTGATTACACTTCGAAAGGGTGAACTTTCTTACTTCGAGCAGCGATTTCCTATCACGTCCGCGGCAACTTCTCCCGGGGATAGACCGATCGGTAAGCAACGTAAAATTAATAAAGTTCCGTCATCGACCGGATAAATAAATCATGAAGAACATCCGAGCAACCCTTCATCCCCCTTAATTCAACGGAAACTTTCGCCGGACGAAGTTCGTAATGTCCGCTGATGCATCGAACGAAATTCTCCCCCTTGCTCTTTCCCATTTCACCCCCTACCCCACCCCCCATTCCACCCCGGCACCGTGATTCTCAACTAATCCGCTCGAGTGTAAGATCGAACACGCGACGACGTCGAACGATATCTGTTCAAAATTAACGAACTGTCTTCGATTTTTACTGGGTCCTCGCGATTTAGCGGAGATTTCGTGAAACCTTTCGTAAAATACCGTCGATGAGAGGAAGAATACTTTTAAGTGCATACACATTTATTGTGTAGTTTTTGTATAAAAAATAATTATAATTTTTTGTATAAAAGTATCTTGTTCACTTCTTCGATTTTCTCTGCAAACTTCATTGCTTCGTGCGGAGAAATGTGCTTAAAGGGGTTCATGTCCAATGGGGTAGAGCTCTGCATTTTTTAATACATGATTCACGTGATTCCATTCTTTACTTTACAACCACTCCCAAATGATTGCTTGCGGGGGTGGCCGTTACAGTGGTGAGCGATAATCGGAGGGTCGATTCTAGTTTATATACCAACAGTTAACGCGTTCTATAAATGCGTTAAGCATCCACTGTCTAAGTATTATAGGTTATAATAACTGCGGATTTATATGGAAATTAAAAATCGCGTCGATGAAAAGAGACAGAGGCTCAACAAATACGTATTTTATCCGTTAATGATTTGAATCTCTATCGTTCTTGAAATTATGGAGACATTTTCTTGCAAAATGATTAAGTAAGTTCTTCCGTTCAAGCATTCATTGCAATCAAATCTACTTTACCTATTGATTTTCATTGAAAACGCGTAAAATCCGCAGTCTAATAATGACGCTGCGGATTTGTATGGAAAGTGAACATTTCTAAGAGATTGGGGCCAATGAGTAGGAAATGATATACGTACGCTCTGAAATTCTTCTAATATTCCTAGTGTTCTAAAACATCGCCTATTCATCATCGCATGGAAAGCAATTGTAATTCACGTACGACGTACTGCAGATTTACATGCACATTTTAATGCACTTCATTGTGCAGTTGACTTCTAAACTACTGCTACTGGCTTGAAAATTTGCTTCTGATGTGCTATAGCTGCCCACTAAATTTAAGCAATTTTTTGGCGCCTATAAGCGACCGACAAATTTTATCAGATATTATTAGTATTATTGTTATTAACGAACTTATGTAATACAGTTCAGTGTTTCGATCGATGCAATGTAAATCTAGAAAATACGTCGTTTATTTCATAGGTTGAACTA